TAATGGCTGTGTCACTGGACTCCCACGTAGTCGACCGCGGTTCGTGTCCTGGACCCGGTGGCTTAAAACTCACGCCGGGTGTGTGTGCGTATGTGTGTGCCCAAGATCCCAAGAGGAGAATGGAGGAGAAGGGATTGCGGCGTGACCATCCCCTCTGGGGGGTGATTTCTCGCTTTCTGTCTCTATGTCTTTCTCTGTCTGGCAAGGCCCCCCCCCCCAAAACAAAAACCCCCCAAAAAAAAAAAAAAAAAAAGAACTAATCCCCCTAGCCTTGGGACTGACTTCCAAACTGGATCTGACCTCTCAAGTCTGAGACTTACCCTGATCTTGTAACTACACCTCCCTAAACCCAGGGAAGAGCCCTCCAACCCCAGGGTGGACTTGAATGGGAGACAGACTAGCTTCTCATCCAGAAACCAGCGTACTGACCTCACCGATATCTGCTTCTTGACCACAGTGAATTTTCCTTGTTTTCTGGGTAAAGCCTGCTCAGAAGTGAAACTAGTCATTTTTCAGCACTTTCCCACCCTTGGCCCAGTGTCCAGTCCCCACCGGATTCACCTTTTAAGAAAGGTAGGAGATGGGGAGGGAAGGTGGTAGAAAGTTAGAGATATCTGTCTGAGAAAGAAAAGAGATGCACCAGAGACAGACAGGAATTGGATTGGGAATCTAGAGAATGGAGGAGCCCCAAAAAGTTCTCAGAGTAGCCCTACGAGCCTTACCCCGAAAACTCAGCCTCACTTGTCGTTCGTGGGTGCCTGGCAGCCCTGTTAGTCGCTGCACACACACGGTCAGGGCCATGGTCCTGGTGCCACTGGTTCTCCCTCTGCCCGCTTTTCCTCCTGCCCACCACCCGCTCACCTGAATAGCCTCTGACTCACTGGACTCACCCAGCAGGTTTAGTAATCCCTGCCCTTAATTCAAACACACAGATAGGCCTAGGGGTCATGGGTGGGGAGGAGGGGGACTGAGAGATGAGGATAAGGTCCCTGTGGTCAGCTCAGTCCTCCCTGCCTACACTAGCTACAGCTGGGCAGGAGGGCTTTGGCCTCTACCCTATATCCTCTTTGGGTGGGAGATGGGAATAGGATAGATATGGGAGGGGACCGGGTCCCAGTGTGGTCCCTACTAGCCTATGAGGCCATAAGGACTTAATTTTGCTTCTTGTTCCTCTCTCTGTCCTCAATATTCAGCCCAGGGTGTGACACATGGGAGCCCCTTAAACTCTGCTGAATAAATGGGTGGATCAAGAAATCCTCTAGTTTCCAGCCATAGTGGTATAGGCATTCAACCCTTGTTGAATCAATGGTAATCGAATATGTATTTCTAGCCTGCACATAGAAGCTATTCAATATGTTTCTTAACTAGAGCCAGAGGTCTTCAACTTAGGGTCCTAGGACAGGATCCAGGGAGTCTCCAAACCTTCAAAATGTTCTGTCCATTGAGTTTGTGTACATGTTTCTGAACATGGAGCTCCTCGCTTAGGCTAATAATCCTTAACCAGGGGTGCAGTACTTTTGCTGAGTGAAGTAATGAATGTATCTCAGTCTCAACTCATAATAGAGGATAGAACCTATATGTGAGTGTATTTCACCATCATGTACTTGTTAGTTCTATTTAATGTCACCTCCTATGTGCAGGACTTGTGTTATGCCACCCCAGGTGTGGGGGATGTAGTGATAGAGAGATGAATTAGGTGCATTCTGTGTCCCAGCAGCTTCATGGACTCCAGTACATAGAAAGGTACTCACATCAGAGCATGAAAGGATCAGAGCTGAGGATCCCATAGGATGGAGGTCAGAGAAGCTTCCCTGAGGAGCGAGTGTTTAAAATAGGCTTTAAGGACACAAGTTGGGAGCAGAGACAAATATTCAGGCAATAGAGAGGGACATCTTATGTGTTCTGTTTGTCTGGAATATGAGAATTGTGTTGGGCAGCAGTAGATAAGAAGAGACAGTCAGAGGAGCAAGGTCTTGCTAAAGCCCATGGTTCCAATCCTTGTGCTTTAGCTTTCCCATTTCATTACTGAGTATTAGAATTTTCTGTTCTGCTTATTTCTGAGTTGTTAGGTATTCAAATGAATTTTTGAGATCTATAAAACACCAGACAAGAGGGGTGGATTGTTTTGTTTCTGAGTAAGCTCTGGGTTAGATTTCAAGACCCTCAGATGTTGGGAAAGGGTTTTACCTCCGCCTTTGACAGATGGGGACACTGGGACCCAAAGTCAAACAGGAAAGAGGGCAGGGATGGAGGTGCAGACCAGAATTCTTAGTTTTCATTGTCTTGGCCTCTCCCTTCCTCCTTCTGAGCTCTGTGGCATCTAATCAAGAAAGGTATTGGGAACCAGCAGTTAGCGTAATGGCTATGTCGCTGGACTCCCACGTAGTCATCCGCGGTTCACGTCCCGGACCCGGTGGCTTAAAACTCACGCCGGGCGCGTGTGCGTGCGTGCCCAAGATCCCGAGAGGAGAATGGAGGAGAAGGTATTGCGGCGTGGCCATCCCCCCTGGGGGGTGATTTCTCGCTTTCTGTCTCTCTGTCTCTGTCTGTCTGGCGAGCGCACGCGCCCTATAGCGAAAACCTCTCAAAAAAAAAAAAAAAAAAAAAAAAAAAAAGAAAGGTATTGATGTCACTCCTCTGGAGCCTGGCCCAGGCACCTGCCCTCTGGGGTGGAACACACCTCAATCTCTGCACCTCTATCTTAGAGTTGCTACTCCCACTTCTGAACAGACTAAGTAAGGAAGGTGTGATGTGGCAGGAAGGGTGCTGGGCTGGAGGGCAGGATTTTGGAATTCTAATCTATTGTGCATGGTCTCAGAGAAGTCCTTTCCCCTCTCTGGACCTGTTTGACCAGCTATGTAACTTGTACAGGTGCACTTCATTGCTTTTCAAAACGTGATCCTTAATTAGGGTCGCACAAATGGTTGGTAAAAGTGAACATTCCTGGGTCCACTCTAGAAATACTGAAATAGAAACTCAAGGTATACCTGCCTGAGAACCTGAATTTCTTTTCTGGATCTGTGTGCTTGCCATGGAGAGACAAGAGGAAGAAAGCACTCTCCAATGGGGGTATGGCCACACCACAACCCCTTCTCTATCTCTTCATCTGTCAGGGTCTGGAGCACCCAAGCACACATGCTAGCCATGTTTTTCAATCCGCCAAGGCTGAGATTCAAACTGTGGTCATCCGTGTGACATCTTGTTTGTTTTTTTTTTTTTTTGGAGAGGTTTTTGCTATAGGGCACGTATGCGCGCCAGAGAGACAGAGAGAGACAGAGAGACAGAAAGCGAGAAATCACCCCCCGGGGGGGTGGCCATGCCGCAATCCCTTCTCCTCCATTTTCCTCTCGGGATCTTGGGCACACACGCACATGTGCCCGGCGTGAGTTTTAAGCCACCGGGTCTGGGACGCGAACCACGGTCGACTACGTGGGAGATCAGCGACATAGCCATTGCGCTAACTGCTGGTCCCACATCTTGTTTCTTAAGCCAGTAGGCTATGGGACTAGCCTCAGAACCTGAATTTCTAAAAGCTGCACTGGTGTTCTGTTGCATACAGGAGTTGGGAACCTCTGGTGTCCAGGCTGTAATTATTTGTGACTCCTCATTCCATTCTCCAAGGTTCCAGAGTGTAGTCTGAGCATGGGTATGGTGATTGGTAGGCACTAAATTCTCATTCCACCGGCCCCTGAGAAATCCTGAGCTCAGAGGTCTCTGAGGTCAGGGGGTCTCAGGCCTGATGACTAACAAGAGGGTGCTTAAACTCTTGTCGAGCAAGAAAGACTATTTAATAGTGCCCTGTGTGGGCCAATCTATAACCTAGGCATTATGGGAGTGGACCCCACATAGCAGCCTACAGTTCAAATCCTGGCCTAGGGGCTTGAAAACACTTTTAGAATAGGCCCAAAATCTGACAGGATGGGAAAATGAAGAAGGGATTGTGGTGTAACCACTGCCCACTGAGGAGTGCTTTCTGTCTCTCTCTGTGTCTTTCTCTGGTAAGCACAGGTGCCCTCTGGCAATTAAAAAAAAATTTCCTTGGGATCACCAGATGGTGTAATGGTTCCATGACTTGACTTCCACATGGCTGACTGCAGTTCAAGTTCTGGACTGGCCAGGACTTGGAATTCATGCCAGGCGCTTGTACACGCAGGCCCAAAATCCTGAGAGGAGAATGGCCATCCCCCTGGGGGATGATTTCTGGCTTTCTGTTTGTGTATCTGGCAAGCACAGGCAACCTGTAGCAAAAATGTCTCTCTGGGGGAAAAAAAAAAGCCTTGTGTAATGTTCAGCTCCTCCATAATGATCATTCATCCACAAATACTTGAGCACCTACTAAATGCTAGGGTTAACTGGAGGATACAACAGTGAACAAGACGAAAATGTCTGCCCTCATAAAGGTTCCGTTCTAGAACACAGACAGGGAGTAATGAAATAGCTAATATACAGCATGTCCATGACAAATGAGACAGGGAGAAGCAGGGAAGGGGAAGAGACGTTGAGTGCCATTTTAGGCAGGGTGTTCTGGGAAGCGCTGTGATGTCATTGCATGCTTCAAACGTCAGAAGCAAAAGAGACTGCCCTGGCTCCCAGTGACGTCACGGCTAGTTCTGTGACGCCCCGCCAGGACGCTTCGCGGAGACCATGGTCGCCTCTGTGACATCAGCAACCAGGCCCAGTACAGGCGAGAGGGCTGAGTCCGGCCGCGGGCCCAGCCGGCAGCACGCAGGATCTGTGGGGTCCCGGCGGAGCGCAGCGGCTGAGGGAGGGCGGAGGGCCTTGGCGGCTGCGGCGGTGACTGTGGCGACCGTGAAGAGGCGGCCCCAGGTCAGGATGCGGCGGAGCCCCCGCCCGGGCTCGACAGCGTCCCCGCACAAGCACACGCCCAACTTCTACAGCGACAACAGCAACAGCTCTGTGAGCGTCACCTCAGGGGACACCAGCGGGCACCGGTCAGCTGGGCCGGGGCCCGGGGAGCCCGAGGGCAGAAGAGCCCGGGGCTCCAGCTGCGGCGAACCTGCCTTGAGCGCAGGAGTGCCGGGAGGAGCCACATGGTCAGGAAGCTCTCCGCAGG